ATACTCGGCTTCGTTGTTCGAAGCGTGGAAAATTAATCAGAATGACTGTTCCAATACTTCTCCCGTTGGGGATGCGAGTCGGATGCCGATCCCAGAGCCTTGTTTGGATGAAGATCCGTCAACGTATAAGATCCAAGTCAAGTTCGGCTCTTGGTTGGACGTGCTTCCCGTTGGGAGTTCCACTATGAAGTCCGCGAGTACTTGCGGTTTCGCGCAAGTCTTTGCGCGCTATTCAATATCGTACTCGCTCAGCTCGATCGCCCATTTTGCTAATCTTCCCGATTGGCTGGGACTATGCAAAATGGTGCGGAGAGGGAATGAGGTGGGCACGACGATGGTGTGAGATTGGAAATATGGTCTTAATTTTCTTGCCGACATGACTACGGCAAAAGCCAATTTCTCCATCATCGGATATCGCGTCTCTGCATCCAGTAGCGTCTTACTTACGTAGAATATCGGTTTTTGCTCGCCGCGTTCCTCCCGAATAAGGACGCCACTCACGGCGGTCGTCGACACTGCGATATAGAGGAATAATGGTTCTCCTTCTACAGGTTTCGCGAGTACTGGCGGGGTAGCTAGATAATGTTTTAGTTGTTGGAAAGCTTTCTCGCATTCTTCGGACCATTCGAACTTTTTGTTTCCTTTTAACGTTTAGTAGAAAGGTAGATATTTATCCGTTGATCGCGAGGTAAAACGGTTAAGTGCTGCGACCCTGCCAGTCAGTGTTTGTACTTCGCGTTTTGTTCTGGGAGAAACCATTTCTATCAATGCCGTGATTTGTTTCGGATTGGCCTCGATCCCGCGGTAAGTGACGAGATACCCTAGAAATACTCCGGATGCGACGGCGAATCGACATTTCGCAGGGTTCAACTTCATGTTATGAAGGTTGAGCCTTTCGAAACACTCTTGGAGGTGCACGACATGATCTCGTTTTTCGAGTGATTTTACAAGCATATCGTCGATGTATACTTTCGTCGTTTTTCCGAGTTGTTCGGCGAACATGCGATTGATGAGTCGTTGGTAAGTCGCACCGGCGTTCTTAAGGCCGAAAGGCATCACTTTATAGCAGTAAGTTCCGCGATCAGCTATGAATGCGATTTTTTCCCGATTGTCAGGGTTCATCATAATTTGATTGTATCCTGAGAAGGCGTCCATGAAAGATAAAAGTTTTTTCCCCGCGGTTGCCTCGACCAAACGATCAATGTGTGGCAGCGGATAGCTATCTTTTGGACACGCTTTATTGAGATCGGTGAAATCGATGCAGACTCGCCATTTTCCGTTCTTTTTCTTTACGACGACGGGATTGGCAAGCCAGTCAGGATACCGAACTTCCGTGATCGATCCTACTTTGAGGAGTCTGTCGACTTCGCTGTTGACCGCTTCGGCGCGTTCTGGCCCCAGTTTTCGCCTTTTCTGTTTGATGGGTTTGGATGTTGGGTCAACGTTAAGTTCGTGACATGTGATGTTGATGTCGATTCCTGGCATATCTTCCGCAGTCCAAGCGAACGTGTTCGAGTTTCATTTAAGACATGTCAGGAGTTCTACTTTCAAGGTCTCGCTCAGGTTCGCACCGATTTCGACGCAGCGTTCTGGAAAATTCTCATCGATGCATACCGAGATGACGGGTTCGCAGGTTGGCTCGCGTTTACCTTCCAAAGCCTCGGCCGCTCGCAACTGCCAGAAGAGTTCCGTTTTATCTTGCTCTGGGGCGTTGTCGAGGGACGTCAAATTCTTTTTCTTTTTGGAAGAGATATCGACCGACAGATTTTTTCATTTTAACTCCGCGTCGTAGCAAACTTGCGAGGTCCTCTGATTTCCCCATATAGTCTCAATCCTGCGCGGAGTCGGAAACTTGAGACACATATGGTATGTCAACGGAATCGCTTGCATCGAATTTAACCACGGTATCCCTACGATTGCGTTGTAAGACATAGGTCGGTCGACGACTTCGAATTCGACGTTTTTCACTATGCTGCCGGCGCGAACTGTCAGGTTGATCGTTCCGAGGGTCATGGTGATTTCTCCCGAGAGTCCTACTAGCGGGCTTACGTTTTCCGCGATTTCAGACAGATCGATTTCCGTTCTCTCGAGAGTATTTTTGAAGATGATATCAGCCGAGCTTCCGGTATCGACTAATATCCTCGCGACATCCATATTCTGGATCGTCAGCTCAATAACGAGAAGATCGTTGAGAGGTTTGATCGAATCGATCTTTGCTCTTTTCTCAACGCGATTATTGTGTAAGAGAATTCGACCCCCCCCCCCTCCTTCTAGCGCCAAACTGTGGGAACCGAAATCCACACTGTCGATTTTCCGTCAAATATGGAAACTTAGAGTAAAACCCTAATTTTCCTGAGGTCATGGATCTCTGCGGAAATCACTAAAACAAATGAAATAAACAGAATATGGATGAATAACGAAGAACAGAGAATAGAGAATTTGTATGAAAGATTTTATTAAGTAAGAAATCGACAACTGTTACAAAAGAGAATTGAAGAACTTAGACGTCGAAACGTTCTAAGGATCTGGATTGCTAGTTTAAACGCTAAGTCCTAGATTCCTAAGCTAACAGTCGCATTTTTAGGTCTGATTTTCGTCTCCTTACTCCTGCCCCATGCCTCTGGCTTATATACTCCTCTCCTAGGCGGTTCAGTCTTTCCATTTTGCCCAGATTCGAGTTTATCGGGAATCTTCCATTTTCCTTGATGCTTCCTTTTCTTCCGCGGAAATCTCCTATTTATCTTCAAACTTGCCTTTTATCTTCAATCTTGACATTTATATTTCTTCTGCGAGTGAACCATCAAAACGTTATCGTATCTTCGGGTTAGATTTCGTTAATATCGCGAGATGGGTTTTTATCGCGTTTTAGGACCTTTCGGGCCGTTTTACGATAAAATCCATTTTACGACTTTATACGAGATCGTTTCCTGATCTGATGCCATTTTTTATGATTTTCTCGACGTTTTTATTAAAAACGCGTTTTTTATGATTTTAACGAAAAATACTGAATAAATCGTACAGTTTAGGCAATGTTCGGTGTTTCGTTTAACCGTTGCCGCTTTATACGATTTCCTCGAGTTCTTTTCGAGAAAAAGAAGTTCTACGATTTTTATCGTAAAACTCGAACGATAAGTCGGATCAAGACGAAACGGGAGACAATTTGACCATGGTTCGGAGCACGACCGTGCCGAAGGTCGTAAGCACTGAATCGGGGATACGGGAGATCGAGGCTCGGGATGGTCGATTCGACGTACGGCGAACCGAGCCGGTGGACTGTCCGGGAAGTTTCTAGTTCGCCCAACGGCGAACTAAGCCGCTCATGGCTTAGTTTGCCGTTGTGCAAATTAGCCGGGACGGGGCTAGTTCGCCCAACGGCGAACTAGCCGGGAAGAGGCTAATTCGCCCACCGGCGAACTAAGCCGGGACGAGGCTAGTTCGCCCACCGGCGAACTAAGCCGGGACGAGGCTAGTTCGCCCACCGGCGAACTAAGCCGGGACGAGGCTAGTTCGCCCACCGGCGAACTAAGCCGGGACGAGGCTAGTTCGCCCACCGGCGAACTAGCCGGGACGAGGCTAGTTCGCCCACCGGCGAACTAGCCGGGACGAGGCTAGTTCGCCCACCGGCGAACTAGCCGGGACGAGGCTAGTTCGCCCACCGGCGAACTAGCCGGGACGAAGCTAGTTCGCGTTTTACGGCGGTTTTGGTTTTTCGCGGTTTTCTAAAACGGTTCTTAGAGTTTTAAAAACGATTCTTCGAGTTCTATAAAACGATTCTTTTAGTTTTATAAAACGATTCTTTGAGTTTTATAAAACGATTCTCGAGTTTTATAAAACGATTCTTCGAGTTTTATAAAACGATTTTCGAGTTTTATAAAACGATTCTTCGAGTTTTATAAAACGATTCTCGAGTTTTATAAAACGATCCTCGAGTTTTATAAAACGATTCTCGAGTTTTATAAAACGATCCTCGAGTTTTATAAAACGATTCCTTGAGTTTTATAAAATGATTCCCAAATTTGATAAAACGATCCTTCGAGTTTTATAAAATGATCCTTCGAGTTTTATAAAACGATTCTCGTGTTTTATAAAACGATTCCTCGAGTTTTATAAAACGATTCTTGCGGGAAGCAATAATCCCATCTTTTATAGAAGCTGTCATAGACGTTGATTTCGAGATTACGATTTTTGACACCAACAAACCGTAAAAATGCATATTCCCCCCGAGACAACAAAAAGTCAAAAACACATTTTCCCACCAAAACTGCAAAAACGCATACTGCCGCCAAAATCGCAAAAATTCATTTTCTTTCTAAAACCGCAAAAAAAAAATATTTTCCGACAGAAAAACAAAAACACATTTTTTCGCCTGAACGTTAAAACATATTTTTCCGCCAAAATGTAAAAACACATTTTTCCACAAAAATCACAAAAACCTATTGTCGTGGCAAAATCGAAAAATATATTTTGTTGTTAAAATTGCAATATTAAACCTTTTTCAAAATCGCAAATATGTATTTTTCCGATAAAACTACAAAAAAAAGTTTTCGCCAAAACCATATTTTAAAAATAAATATATTTTAGATATATTATAAAAATAAAAAAAAATAATTTAGTGAAACAAACATAATATATAATTAAACAAAACAAAAATATATTAGCAATTTGTTTACTAAATCCATCTATACGAAAATGGAGATAAAGAAATGAACCATAAATCCATTTAGATAATTCATCTAAATGATCCATCTTGATGTATAAACAAACATTTCTAATAATATTTAGATGGATCATTTGAATAAATCAGGTAAAATGGTTCATCTGAACAGATAAGACAGATGATGAAACGAACTCCCTTGTCTCTTATAAGTGTAGGTGACTTTAACGAAGAGTGATAGATGAACTAAAAACATAAAACGATTCAGAAATGTCCACATTTAAATTATCCTGTCACGTGTCATGCTCTCAAGCGTTGATAAGACTGGACATTTGTAATTGCACCAGAATCCTAATGTTGGAGCCTCAGAGGTAAGATTAAGTTCGATTTACCAACAAGATGATGTAATTGGACATACAAACTTGCTTAACTTTGATACATGCAGTTCATAGAGAACAAATATGATCGAGCAACAAGGAATTATATTATATTCCTTGCAAAAATACTTAGAAAGATACCAAAAAATAAAACGAATTCAACAATTGTGATTTCGACAAATTTTGCTCTCTCAAGGAAGAGGAGGAACATCAGGAATGCCTTGACGTTGCAATTCCGTCATGACGCCGTCGATTGACTTTCAGTCCCAGAGGAAGAGGTAGCCACGGCTTTGTTATGACGTCTCCTATAGCTGCGTCTATGCTCTCATTAGACTGCACCGACAAAAGACAAAAGACAAAAGGGATATACTAATTAATGAGAACCTTATCAAGTTAAACAAAGTTGTCAAAAGACTTTATGGATTATTACTTATTTCGAAATCAAAGAAAATTCAAAGGAAATAAAGGTGCACTCACGGGATGAATGTCAATCGGAGGAGGATTAGTGGGGCTTAATTGTCTTGTAGGAACACCAATGCTTGTCTCTGGTTTATTATTATTATTATACATCGAATGATTCGGTGTCGCCATACCATATCCCTTACACACATAAACCCTTTTTAATTTTTTTTTGGTCAACAAACCCTTTTTAATTATTATTTTTATTTTACATTTTAACCGTGCAACCAATCTGTAAACTTTATACATGAATTTACCTGTGGATAGAGTGGTTGTTGGTGCCAATATGGTGTATGACCTGGCAAAGATGACGGAGCTGCTGCAACGGCCGGAACTGGATACGTCCGAACTCCGAAGAGTAGACGATGGATTGTTCGGCTTGTGTTTAGGCCATGTAGGATGACCCCACACGTGTAAAGGCCTGAAGTGACCGTGATGCATCGTTGTCACGTGTGGTAGATAGCCTAAGCCAGGAGCCATCCACGGCTTTTTTCCTCCTACTCCGGTAACTGCAACCGTTGCATGCCTCCGAAGATTCCAGCTCGCAGCTTCTGCTTCACGCGCTAGTACATGTTTCCGATGTGACCTATATTTCTGTTATTATTACAAAAGAAAACACACAGAATTATTCTCATTTAACTGTATGTATATGAATTGATGTTTATTAGATCGCTTATATAATATTTTTTTGTTTCAGTATAATCCATCTTTTAGAGTGTTCACCCATATTAACAAAACAAATTAATAAATATATAACTTTTGTTGATTTGTTATTTCCAATAACTTTTAGTTAATTAAAATGCATTAAACACAATTAATGTCATAGAGTTTTAAAATTTTTCTTTATTGTATCCATTGGAAATGTGAAATATATATCTTTTAGAAACAAAATATTTTTCTAAAATATAAATTGTATTGAAATAGAGGAAATACTTAATCACATAGATCTTTTTCAATAACATTAATCGTGTGATTGGTTAATATCCCTAAGAACATCTTCAATCCCACTGTATAATTTACAGTAAAATAGAATGAGATTAGAGATGCTATAAGACGTTATACTCTAGATTAACTGATGTGATATATAATTTAGTGTATTTGCACTCTATACACACACAAAATCTCATAATTAGCTATATATCATAAATCCCACATCTTGATATCTTCGTTCATAGTCACCCATCTTATCACATTAAAGGTAGTTTGCTAATTTCATCATTTTCTTTTGAGTTTTAAGCCAAATTCACTCTATAATTTATTGGCTTTTTGAGCAGTAGAATACCTGGAGATGGCTAGCAACGTTGTGACGAGTGAGAGTTTTAACGTTCATGATTTCTAAAATCTGAGATGGGACTGCTTTGTCCACCCCTAATTGCTCCACAGCTTGTACGAAATTTCGGTGTAACTCCGCTGTCCAATCCACCTGATTTGAGCAAGATTATATATAGAGATAATTTGCTGAAACACCATATTGAGACCTCTAATAAGAGGTTTACACATGATGTGACTTTTTTAGATTTGTTGACCAAATTGCCCCTTATTCTCTCTCCTTCTATTCATGTAGCTCATGTAGCTCTGTCATCCTAGTGACTTTTTTCCGAAACAACATTTTTTAACTCTCTCTCTCTCCTTCATCTCTTTCTTTTAACATTTCTCTTCCCCTCATTTCGTCTTTAAATCTGCTATACGTTTTGTTCTTGTTTTTCTTAATTTTATCTCATCTGTTTTTCTATTTTTTTCATTTGTATGTTTTCTAGTGTTATTCGGCTTAAAGAAAATATTATATCTATGTTTATTATATGTGTTAAAGTTACAGCCAAAACCTTTATTAACGCATTACAAATAACACTGAGCTTGATATCAAATAAGTATCTTAACATATAGTTTATAGAGTTACCATTTGTGACATGTTTTTTTTTAAATCGCCAAAGGTGTTAACACTGATGTTAGCTGTTAACAAATAATGTGGATGTCAACAAATGTGGTAACTGTTAACAAATACATGTGCCAGATGTATTAACACAGGCATTAACTGTTAACAAATTTTATAAATGTTAACAGATGTGTTAGCTGTTAACAAGACATGTATTATAAGTGTTAACAGAGATGTTAGTTGTTAATGAATTTTTTAGATGTCAATACATACGTTAGGTATTATATGTTAATAAATAATTATTCTTGAAGTTTCATTTCTCTATCAAAATGAGTAAAATTAAAATTCATTTACATATAAAATTGTAGATGAGAAAAAAAATCAAGAAAAAATAGTGTAAAAAGAAAGAAATGGATATGAAAAAGAGATGTGTGGTTTAAAGAAAGAGAGGAAGAATCATTGGAGAGAGAGTGTCAGTATAGGCAATAGGATTCAGAAGGGCATTTTCGTCCAACACCAACCAAATTGTAGAAAAAAATGTTTTAATGTCAACTCATGTGTATTTGCCTAATATAAGCTTCAATTTTGGGCATTTGCCTAATTCACTCTTATATATATATATTTTTTGATTAACTATTATTAAAATTAGAATTTTAATTTAATAATAAGAAATAAATTAGATGCCTAATTGATTTATGCTGCCCATAAAACATAAAAATATGTCATATTTCTATAACCAAAATTAAACTATTACAAAAAAAGATTCGAGCAGACAAATCGATGGAATAAAACCTACACATATATATATATATATATATATATATATATATATATATATTAAACTTAAGATTATTGTTTTGCTACTAGACAATAAACAACCACGCGTTAGTGTAGCATTGCGTTCCTTAGAATCCACCTATACTTTAACTGGTAACCATCACAGGAACATCAAAAACAAATAAAAAAGGATTAGATAGGAATAAAATTATGGGAATGAATAGGAATAGTTATTCTATATCAAGTTTAATAAGGAACAAATTTGTTCAATAAATCTCTACAATAAAAGGAATGATGAGAAATAGAAAGGAAAAGCTATTCATTATGAATGGTAAATTTTTTTAGGAATATTAAGGAATGTATTGTTCCTCCTCGTTCCTTCGGTCACCATTCATAGCCTATGATTTTACATTCTTTTGTCGGAAAGTGATTTACCATTTCTGTTTTTTACTAGAAATTAAACTATTCCACATACTTAAAATCAAAATTTATTTTTTATTAACGATAAACTAGATAATCCATACGTGAAGAATTTATAAATATAAGATTACAGTTTTTCTGCCACAAAATTAACATGTCCTATAAACTAAAATTTCCTTAGATTAATTATTATTAAAAATTACTATACTTAACAACAACAAATTAGATGGTTTATATCACAGAATAAAACATATAACTTTATCACAAAATTAAATAATTTTATTGATGAAGATTGAACTGTTTCATATACTTAATACATGATTGTTATTAATTAACAACAAAGTAGATGAACGAATTCCGTTAGATATAAAATTTTATTTTAAAATTATATAAATTCAAGATTATGAATTTACTATTACAAAATAACACTGTTTTATTTTATCAGTAGTAAAACATCTAAATAATTTCTAAAATTATAGTTATGATTAATTATGAAAATAAAATAGATGAACAGTTATTTGAAACCACAGGTACTAAAAATTCAAATCCTAAGGGCATCTCTAACCCAACTTCATTTTTACTTCAAAATGGAGTAAAAGTGATTATGGAGTAAAAAATGCTCCAATCCCACTTCATTTCTTACTCCACAATGAGATTTACTCCATAAATGGAGTAATCTATTTTTTGTTTGTTCACTACTCCATTATGGAGTTACAAATAGAGTGGGGTTGAAGCATTTTTACTCCATAATCACTTTTACTCAATTTTGGAGGAAAAAATGGAGTTTTACATTGGAGATGTTATAACAATTGTTGCATTGGAACTAAATAACAGAGACTAGTACTTGTTATATAAACGGAAACTCCAAATAGTTGTGTTCTATATACCTTGGGTTTTTTCTTAATCATTGTCGACGGATAAACCATCTTTATTTTTCTTCCCTTTACGTTTCCCCCTACGCACCGTTTTGTGAGTAATGGCATCACCATCGGGCTTAATCCCCCCACCGTCTCTCTCCGATGTCTCCGTCGCCGTTGAAGTGTTTCCCTCCTTTTCTTGTTCTTCATCTCTTCCACCGCCGGAATACTCCCCAAGAATATCGGAATCAAGTTCCAAATCGGGCAAGCCATCATCTCCATCGAATCCAATGAAAAGGTCGTCGTAGTAATCGACTCCTTCAAGAAGATCTAGACTTCCTTCTCCGACCATCGTGAAGTCCGGCAAGCCTTCCGTCGTAAAATCTGCGAAATCGGCCGCCATATAACTGTCTCTTGAGGTGGTGTTGACGATGAGTGGAGACACAGTTAACATCGAATAGTGAAAAGGAAAATTTCAAGATTCGAATAACAATTTAGAGAGAACAAGAGTGATAGAGTGCAGTAGTAATATATGTGTATACATATATAGTCGTGTGTGTTTATCGATATAGATAGTTCGAAGGTTTATTAAAATCATATATATGCATTATATGTGTTGGTGGTATCCTGACTCGAGAAAAGTTGTGGTTGAGAGATAGGAGAAAGGGATTTTTACTTCTTTTTTTTTCTTCCTATTGTAATTTTAAAATTTAATAGAAGTAATTCATAAATTATATTTATTTCGTTTTTTCTCTTAAACTTTAGAAATTTGGTTATGTCCATTTTGTTTTACTCAATGTTTCTTTCCAAAACATTATGAAACTTTATCATTGATATTTATATATATTTCAGTTTTTTTTTGTAAATATATTTTAGTTTTGTAATAAATTCAAAGTAAGTGTTGTGTTAGCTTAAGGAATAACTATTAAAAATACATGAATAAAATTGGTATGTATGGAAATGATTATTAGTTATAACTGTATAATGTGATTTTGTACAACTATTTAGAAAAATATTAAAAATTAAACTATTATGTAAATACAAATAAAATCGGTTTCTAGCAAAAACGAAAAAAGTCTTAAGCTTGCTACAAGCATGGTACTTTAAAGTTTATGAAACCATAATATTTTAAGATAGGTCTTGATAATTCTTTTTTTTTGCAGTTTCAAAACCATAAAGCCGATATATGTTGTTCTTTTACAGTTTTGAAACCAACGAGCCAATATATGTTGTTCTTTAAAATTTTGAAGGAAAATCAAATGTTTCATTAGCTTTTGCTCCATATCGGTCTTTACAACATATATAAAATCCATAAGTGTTTTATAGAAAATAATAATTTGACACCGACAACCTTAATTTATTACGGTTAGTAGGATTGTAGTATTAATAATGATCATAAATAATGAATGTTTTCCATTTTAAATTAATTGTTATTTAAGGTTACATTTATTTTTAATTAATTTTTAATTAATTTACTTCTTTAGTATTAGTAAAGTTAATTCAACGAATAAAAAACTATACTATAATAATATGGAAATGATTTAAAATACTAAATTACATTAAAGTTTTGCATAAAACTTTAAAATATCATTTAAATTATAACAAAAACAAAAATTAAAAAGACCAATTAAAATGCAACAGAAAGAGGATTCAATAAAAGGTTATCTCCCCAAGACCAACTTAATCTACCTCATGGCTTAGGACTGCTTTATCTTTGTGGCATTGAACAGATTTCAGAAGTAATGGCCTTAGTAACGTTTTTTTTTTACATTTAATGCTGTCAATGTGTACTTTCATGCCTAAATGTGTATAACCCTATTTAATTTGCTACAGTCTTTTTTTATAACACTTGCAATAATGATCGTACAGTACAAGAAACAGAAGATACATAAAGATAGATTGAAAAGAAAGATGGGAAATCAGTAGACCCCAACAGCAACAATAATGGGAGCTTACCTAGCTTAAAACCCTTATTTGTGAGCCTCCAGAGCGAGAAGATGAAAGAGCCAGGCTGGAGCATGTCTGGCTATGTATGAGTGGTGGCGCTGATCACGAGTGACACTAATAGCAATAGCCACTGCTGCTTCGTTGCGATCTCGGTGGGCATGATCCAGACTCCATCTGTCTATCCTTTCTAGAAGGGAGAGAATATTATGGCGAAGGAGGCTGAGGTCGTAGGGATGGAGGCATTCAGGCTGTGTGAGAAAAGAATGGAGATCGATGGATGATGTCTCAAAAATAATATTTTTGAAATGTAAATTAGCCATACATTCAACCGCCCAAAACAAAGCCCATAAATCAGCCTCGGTTTTTGTACGCATATAAGAATACGCCCGTCGACTATGCATGATCGTAACCCCATTGCCATCACGTAAAATCCATGATGCTCCACTTGGTTGATTGGATTTGACCCAAGAAGATCCAACATTACATTTTAGGAAACCCAAGGATGGGGGTATCCAGCGGATCATCTCCGTAACGGTATTAGCATCCACATCAGCCTTTTCAGTGAAGGTATCAAACCATTCAGACTCCGCTTCATAAGCTTTTGTAGCCACGACCGAAGCGCCTATCACTTTACTCTCAAAAGTAAAGGTATTCCGAGCCTTCCAAATTTCCCAGAGGAGCCATGGAAATACTTTCCTTGTATGATTATCCATATTGATGTTCTTGGCAGTCTTATTCAGGTGCACAAAATTTAAAAAAGTGGAAGTGCCTGAGAAACCTCCAGGAGGAACCGGAAAATTCGATTGTTCCCATGTGGCTCTTGCTTTATCACAAGTAAAGAGGACATGACATATACTCTCAATCCCATTTCCACATACAGAGCAAGTTTGATCAATATTGATACCCCGAGTAGCCAAGCGTTGCTTGACAGCTAAAGCACCAGAAAGAGCACGCCACATAAAGTGCTTGATTTTAGGAGGAGCCTTTGTCTTCCATAAGTCTTTCCACAAATGTTTTTCAATGGGGCTAAGGGGGACCTGGGGAGGATGGTCATAGTCCAAAAGAGCTTCTGAAAACTTATAAGCACTTCTGGTCGAATATGTACCATTTGATGTAAAACCCCATTTAAAAGAATCTTGGAATTCTACCGCCGGTTTCAGTAATAATATTCTTTGAACGTCTTGTGGTGTGAATGTCTGGTGTAACAAATTAGTATCCCATTGATTAGATCCCTGACGGATTAGATCCGAAACTTTCAACGCTAGGTTAATGGGACTATTTTCCTTGTACATTGGGGGGCGGGGAATAGTATCAATAATCCAGTTTTCTGCCCAAACGTTAGTATCCTTCCCGTTACCAATATGTCGAAACAATCCCTTTTTGAGTAGATCTCTACCATGCATGATGCTTCTCCATGCGAATGACGGACGTGTTCCCATTCCACAGTCTAGGAAATTACCATTTTTGAAATATTTACCCTTAAGAATGCGAGAGACTAGCGAGTTAGGATTATTCCAAATTCGCCAGGCTTGTTTTCCGAGTAATGCCTGATTGAACCGGCCAATGTCATGAAAACCTAGCCCTCCTTGTTCCTTGGGTTTACATAATTTTTCCCAAGCGACCCAGGGGATCTTTCGTTTCTTGTCTCCACTACTCCACCAAAACTCAATAATTGCACTCGTAATTCGTTCGCAAAGACCCTTTGGTAACCGGAAAACTGACATTGCATATATTGGGAGAGCTAATGCAACTGACTTTATTAAAACTTCCTTGGCTCCCATCGACAAAGTTTTGGAATACCACCCTTGCAAACGTCCTTCTAATTTCTCTTTTATGAAGTTTAGTAGATCTTTCTTTGATCCCTGAAAACATTCGGGAAGTCCAAGGTATGAACCCTCGTCACCTTCCTTTTCAATCCCCAAGACCATTTTTATTGCTTGTTTTGTGTCCTCTGGTATTTTTTTTCCAAAGATGATAGAGGATTTCAAAGGGTTAATCCTTTGCCCAGACGCATCCCCATAAAGTTTCAGTGCTTTCATAATTTCCTCACTGTCCCTGGTAGAAGCTTCACACAATAATAAGCTGTCATCAGCAAATAACAAATGATGAACCGAAGGGCTACCTTTAGCCAATTTGATACCATGTAAATTCCCACCAGCCTCAGCTCTGTTCAAAACATGAACCAAGGCCTCAGCACATAGAATAAAAAGGAAAGGAGATAAGGGGTCTCCTTGACGTATTCCTCTTTCAGGTTTAATAAAACCATGGGAACGTCCATTAAGTAATACTGAGAAAGTAACTGTTGAAATGCAAGACATTATCCAAACAACCCATTTTCTAGCAAAACCCAGTTTCTCTAATAATACCTCAAGGAAATTCCATTCTACCCTATCAAAAGCTTTAGACATATCAGTCTTGATAGCCATACTTTCTTTTCCAAGCTTCTCATTTGTCCGGAGCCCGTGAACTAATTCATGTGCTATAATGATATTATCAGTTATTAGACGTCCTTCAACAAAAGCTCCTTGTGTTTCTGATATTATATTAGGCATAACAACCTTCAAACGTTCACATAAAATGCGTGAGATAATCTTATATTGTACACTACAAAGACTAATGGGTCTCATGTCCTTCATCTCGGTGGGATGTAAAATTTTTGGTAACAAGAAAAGCTGTGTATGATTCCATCCAGCAGGAATAATGGCTGTGTTAAAAAAACCCTGAACATCGTCAATAATTTTCTGACCAACTATGTGCCAATATTTTTGGTAGAAAAAACCGGTTAAACCATCTTCGCCTGGAGCACTACTACTTTTTATGCCAAAAGCTGCCTTCTTAATTTCTTCAGAAGAAACTTCTCTGGTTAGTGACATGTTCATCTCCGGAGTAACCTTACTTACAAAACCATCAAAAAGAGTTTCTAGATCAGTTGGGTTTGAACTGGAAAATAAATCTCTGAAATATTCAGTAGCAATATGCCCTTTAGACCCTTCTGAAAAATTTTCGTTCCCAAAGATGTCTTTAAGCATCAAAATCTTATTTCGAATTTTTTTTTCTTTAACAACATTATGAAAATAAGTAGTATTTCTATCCCCTTCTCTTAACCATTCTTCTCTACTTTTTTGCCTCCAAAAAATTTCTTCTTCTCTATAGGCCATTGCCAAATCATGCTTTAGTCTTCTTAGCAGCCCAAAAATAGGAAATTGTTTTGAGCTTTCCTTATCCAAATCATTTTGCAACCGTTCTATCCTTGTTTTTGAATTCCAGTCATTTGTTTTTTTAAGCCTAGATAATTCTGACCGACATCGAGCAATACGATCAAGAACATTAAGATTCGAGTTAACGTTGTTTCCGTCCCATCCGCGGATAATGGCTTCCTCAACCCCTCGCTTTCCATATAACCGTTTATCAAAATAAAATCGTCCTCGTTGTAAGTTCTCAGGTTCAAGAGCAAATTCAATACGCAATGGACGATGATCAGAAGGCCACATACTCATATATTCCGTTGATGATTGAGGAAATAGTCGAAACCATTCAGCATTACCAAAGCTCCTATCTAGACGGCATTGTATCCAGTTATGATCCCTATTACCGGCCCATGACAGGGTATTACCCGTGGATCGCATCTCCCGTATTTTACAAGCCTCAGCCATGTTCCGAAAGTCGAAAAAGGTGTTCTCTTCTCTCGTGGGACCCCCTAATTTTTCTCCGTTAT